GCTTGGGGCCTGTTAAATAGCTTGTAGTTTAGCTTCAGCAGGGTGAATGCCTTGGGCATCAATCCTGAAACCTAAGAAGTCAGTGGAAATGACTCCTATCTTGCATTTATCCTGCTTTAGCTTAAGGCCTGCCTTTTGAAAATGAAGCAGGACAGCCCTTAATCTTTCTGCTAAATTTTGAGATGACTCCCCAGCAATGAGGACGTCATCGAAATAGGGACAGAACCCAGGAATACCTCAAAGTGTGCTCTCCATGACACTTTGGAATATGCCAGGGGCTACATTGACCCCAAATTGCAGTCTCTTGACCTTGAATGCCCCCCTGTGAGTTACAATAGTGGGGCCTCTGCAGCTGCCTCATCAACAGGTAGCTGTTGATAGGCCTGTGCCAGGTCAAGTTTTGCAAAAATGCGCCCTCCCTTGAGGGAGGCCAGGATGTGGCTTACAACAGGAACTGGATAAGCGTACCTTATTCAGTGTATATTTATAGTCTGCACATATACGTATTTCCCCATTAGCCTTTAGAGGCGTTATTATGGGAGTTTCCCATGGAATCCACAGGTTCTAAATTGCCCTGCTGGAGCAATTTGTCCAGTTCAGCATCTATCTTACCTTTGAGGGCAAAAGGTACCCTCCTAGGCTTAGCGTGATGGTTGGGTCTAACCGTAGCAAAATGGGAGGCCCTTTGTAGGATCCTAGCTCTGAACTAAACACATTTGCAAACTCCTTGCAAACCTCTGCAAGGCCCAGTGTTTGCAAGCTGTGCAGCCCAGTTACCTGAATTCCCAGAGCCTCGAACCAATCGAGTCCAATAAGACTCGTACGATCACCCCCAACAACCACCACATCTAGGGAACCTTCAAAATCCTTATACTGTACCCTAAGGGTGGCCTCCCCCTTAACACACACCATAGAATTTTGAAAGTCAGTGAGTATTAGATTTGATGCCCTGAGTTTAACTCGAAGGCCACTACTGCTGTAAATCATTTTAAAAGTATTAATTGAAATAATGGAAAGAGCGGACCCTGTGTCCAACTCCATCAGTAAGGGAAGCCCTTGCAACCTTATGTTAATGGAAAATTTCTTCTTAAGGGGCTTGTGCGTCCCTGTTCTTAGAATACTTCTGTGCGATGTGCAGAACCCCACCCTATGCTGGCTGGGGACCCTGGTACCTTTCAGACGCAATGCTTCACGAGGTTGGACCTTCTGGCGACCCAAACAGATGGATGCAATGTGGCCTTGCTTGCCACACGCTCTGCAAATGGCGGAGCGAAACCTGCAGTCAGCTTGTTTGTGGCATCCTCCGTACCCGAAGCATTGAAGAGATGCTTGTCCGGATGTTCCTTCTGCCTCTTTCCAGCTGGCTGGTGAAGCCTATCCAACTCTTCTTCAGGATCCGCTTCTGATTCTTCTCGAGCATTCTCTTGATAGACTGTAGCTGTTTCTGGAGGGTTCCTGGTGGGCCATAAGGCCTTTACAGCCCTGCCTGCTGCTTCCTCAGCTGTCACCTCTCATAGGGCATATTGGAAAGAGACATCTTCTTTCGCAAAAATCTTCTGCTGTAAGTCTCTGTTCCTTAAACCGCATACGAAGCGATCTCGCAACTTCTCTTCCAGATCTTTGAACTCACAAGGTTTGGCTGCTTGCCTTAAGGACGCAATAAAGTCCACAGCAGATTCACCTGGCCTCTGGTCTCTCTGCTCGAACGCGTGCCTCCAAGCAATGACGGATAACTTCGGCTGGAAGTGTTCCTTCAACATTTTTTTTTTAATTGAAAATTTTTTAAAAAACTTTTACAAAGACAAAAAAAAAAACAATGACAACTACAATAAGACAAAAAAAACAAAAAGCAAAACAATACAACCCTCTCCCAACCCCTCCCAAATCACCCCCTCCCTCCCCCCCCGAGCTTCCCAGAGCAGAATATAGGCTTAATTAAAAGAAATTAACAAAATTATAAGATAATTAAGAACAAAATATATATGAATAAAGAATTATAAACCTTAAAAAGAAAAAATATTTTAAAAAAAAGCAAAGAAGAGAAAAAAAAAGTAGAGTTTTTATACAAGTTATAAAAAAGCTAAATGGTATTTTTTCATATCCAATTTAAGTTGTATAAAATTTATCCATTTTTCCCATACAGCAAAAAATTTCTCTTGCATTTGCTCTTTTAAGAAAGCCGAAATCTTTGCCATTTCCGCCAAATAGGATACTTTAAAAAACCACTCTTGCAAAGTAGGCAAAGATTCCTTCTTCCAATATTGACCTACTAACAGCCTTGCGGCTGTAATTAAATTCAACATCAATATAACCTCCTTAGCATCACAATCAGTAACAATACCAAGCAAAAATAATTGTGGAGTAAATTTTACCCTCTTTCTAAAAATTCTCTGAATATTCCACCATATCTTAATCCAAAAAGCTTTTATATTTTTACACGACCACCAAATATGATAATAACATTCTCCAACATTTAGGCTGTAAGTCAGGATACATGAGAGACATCTTTTGTGGATCAAGGTGCCATCTATAAAACATTTTATAAAAATTCTCCCTTAAATTCTGGGCTTGTGTAAATTTAACATTTCTCACCCAGATAGTTTCCCAAGTATCCAGTAGAACTGGTTCACCAAAATTCTGCGCCCATTTAATCATACAATCTTTAATTAATTCTGATTCTGAATCCAGTTCCACTAGCACCCCATAAATTCTTTTAATATGAGTTTGTCTTTGATCCTTTACTTGCTTGAAAAGATTTTGATCTTCTCTAAGCAAACCTAAATTACGATCCATCTTCCATCTATCTAATAGTTGTCTATATTGAAACCAAGAATAAGTAATATTTTCATGTAACAAATCTTCCAAAGATTTTAACTGCCAATTTAGACCATCCCATCTAAGTAATTGTGTATAAGACACCGTATCCATTTTAACACCTCTCTTTATCCCCTCTATCGCATGCCAAGGTATAGCCCATAATGGTATTTTAAAATCACTTTTATAATATTTCCTCCAGACTCTAAGTAGAGAAATCCTTAAAATATGAGATTTAAAAGCCCGATCTACTTTTTTATTAAATATTAAATAGGCATGCCAACCAAAGAGTAAATCCCATCCCTCCAACCTTCAACATTTTTTTTAAGTCAGCATATGTTACTGACTCCAGAGGTGCAGGGGCCACCAGATTTTCTGCGATGTGAAAAGCTTCTTGTCCACAGACACACAAAAGAGTTGCTGCTTTCAGGCCGTCTTCTCTTATCTGATTTACTCTGAAGCAGTGGTTCTCAACCTGTGGGTCGGGACCCCATTTGGGGTCGAACAACCATTTCACGGGGGTCGCCAAACAACGCAGTCCGCCATTTTTTCCCCTTTTCCTTAGCTGTGCTACTCCCTTTTATTCTATTGGCTTTTGAAAGCCAATAGAATAGACTCTCTTGAATAGAGTCTAATTCTATTGGCTTTCAAAAGCCAATAGGAATTGTCCAGGCTGTCTCTGCCCTGCTGAGCCCGCCAAAAGTCCCATTCTGCAAACGGTGCTGCACCAGTTGAGTAGTCCTTGACTTACGACCGGTTGAGTAGTCCTCGACTTACGACTGGTTGGGGGTCGCGGCATTAAAAAGGTTGAGAACCACTGCTCTGAAGTAATTCTCAACCCGTGCTACATATGAAGTCCATCTCTCAGGGTGTGAGACATCAAAATCAGATAAGCGGCCAATCTTCTCCATCCTCTAGTTTACAACCTTCACCACTCACTCCTCTGCAAACTTCTATTGGGAGAAAGGGTCTTTTAGCTGAGCTCACCCTCCAGCGATGCTATACTGGCAGGCTGGGATGCTGATTCAGATGCTGAATTCTCCTCTTCAGGACTTCCTGGGTGAGTCCTTAAAACTTTTTTCCTTCAGCTTGCAAAGGATCCCACCTTCATCGCCAGTGTTGTGTTCTCTGTTCGCGTGAGAATGATGAAGATGCATAGTGACAACTAATCGATGCTTTATTCTCCTACTCCAACTACAAGCAAAAAGCAAAAGACACGCAGGCTTTTTTATAGGGCTTGAACCCCGGACAGAGTGAACCAATAAGATGTCTTCTTTCTTTGCGCGTTGCGCATGCGCACAAGGCTGGGCCGCTCTGTCTGGTCCCAGGCAGCTTTTAGAATGCCCGGGACCATTTGTAACAATTCTGGGCCTGCTGAGTTTCCTCATCAGGCCCAGGACACAACACTTTGGATATGAATTTTCACTGCAAGAACATATGATCGTTGATCATGAAGCCTCTGTATTTACCTGTCAGGCTTGTGGCTACATAAAACCCAACCCACAGAGATATTTAAACATAAATGTTTCTAGATGAAGCTGTATTAATTTGACTTGCAACTGGTTCACCCAGAAATTAGGCCAAGGTAGTTTCATAAAGAGATCACAATCAAGGTGGTCAGATGTAGTTATGCTCATCAGGGAGTAATAATAAATTGAGATCTTAAAGCCATGGAATGCTGTGATTATCTGAATGTTGCTGTATTACAAATCCCAGCATCTTTAGTCATTAACTGTGCTGTCTAAATTGCAACTGAATATCAACAACATTAGTTAAGTATAAGTTTGTCTCCCTGTAGATAAGTGATCAGTTAGTTAAATATAGTTGACATGACCTTAAGTATGCAAAAGGGAGCAAAGATCAGAATATACTGACTGCAAGCAATGACCTCAGGGAGGCTTAATACTTAGCTTCAAATACTGAGCACCAAATACATCTGCTGGCAGGATTTTGTTATTCAAGAGTCCATAGGGAACTCTTGGATGCAGCGTTCTGCTGTAGGTAGCTGTTCAAGGAAACACTGATACTATTCGTTTGTGCTGTGAGACAAAATCCGTGGAAATATCCATTACACATTTATGAAGACAGGAAATCTTGACCGCTCAATTTTTTTCTATATTCTGTGCTGTTTAAAGAACATGTATTTGCTGCAGAGAACAATAATATAATATTTCTGTTTCCTGTAGAAACCTTCATGTGTAGTCAGGAAGCTTGTAATAGTAATACAGAGGACAGCAGGACTTGCCATTATCCTACAACAGCTGCACAACATGTTACCCATTGAAACAGTTAAGTATTGCATGATTAACTCCTTGTTCTTACATGCCCAGGCAGTATATTCTAGTTGGTCTCATGCTGTTTGAATTGCTGATTTATCCCACAAGCGTGATGCGAGGGTAAACCAAAATTGGTTGTAATTCTCTTTGGTTAGGATAACAAAAATCTAAATATTTGGACAAAACTTCTGACTCTATCTGAGCAATAGTACATTTGAATCACCTGCTATTTCTTTTTGCCCTGCTGGATGCAGCACTTAGACTGCCTTGAAAAGCCTTTCTTGAAAAGCTAAGAAGGATCAGTCATGGTTTGCACTTATATGGGAAACCATCCAGAAATTCTAAGCCTGAAGGCATTGGCATTCTTGGGGACAGGGAATGGTCAAACCAATCAGTCTGATAAAAGCGGCTAGAGCCTGCAGATGCCTGTGGGTAGAGTGAGAAGTAGGGGAGGAAATCTTAGGATAAGGCAGTGGTAAATATTTTCCACGTGGTTGCCAAGAAAACTACATGAACATATTGATATAATCTGCCAGAATGAAGAGCAGATTGAAGGTATTGTTACTTTTACCCTCAAAGTACAAAAGGGAGGGGGGAGGGGAATCGATGTAGATAAATTGCCCCTTTTAAATATTGGCCTTCCTTAACTTTAAACAGCTACTTATGTGGATATAAGTGTTAATGTATTGGACTAGGATTGAAGAGACCTAGGTTTTAGGTCTGGTTCAACCATGAAGCTCATTGGTTGATTCTAAGCCAATCGCTTGTGTGTTCACATGACAGGTTCAGCCCCGAAGTTCTGTCAATATGCACATTCCACATTTTTCTACTGTTGTGTGTCATTAACCAAGCTTTCTGAGTTGTATCACTTAAAATATGAAATAGTTGCACTGAGTTTCTGGAAGCCAGGATTTCTAGTTTAATTGGGTAAGCTACAAATTTTAAAGAGCTGAATGAACTGGTTGGAGGGCAATTTTCAAACCGAGTGCACATGAATAAATTTTGTTTAGGGTCATATGAAACAAGCCATTATCCCTCAGCCCAATCCACTTTATAAGGTTGTCAGGATACAGTAGGATATAGAAAGGCTGACTTATGCTGATCTGAGATCCTAGTAGGATAATGAGGCTCTCCTCCCTTTCTTGTTGCCATCTGGGATACCCTTTTTGCCTCTTGAAAGGCCATGAAGCCCTGGTTCTTCCCCAAGGGCTAAGATGGGGATTGAACCAGGAGTTATTTGGTTTGGCAACTTGTGGGAAGAATGGTTTTATTGATAAAAGTTTTTCAAATAATAAATAAATTTTAATTTTGAAAGCAGATTCTAGTAGTCTGTACTCTATTTTATAGCATCGTTCTGTATTCCACTATGAGAAGCATTAGATCTTTACAACCTTCTTAGCTGTGTCTCCCATTTGTTACAATACAAGGTCTGTGCTTGCATGAATCAAATAATGTGTTTCTCTCCTTTCTCTAAGTCACATTTTACAAGCCCCCCTCCTTTTTTCTACATTTGCAAATCATGCATTTCAATGATTTTTTTTTTGGGGGGTATAATACTCAAAGGTTAGTTCAATAGACAGAGAGCTTATGTGCATTACTTAGTTGACTCATTATTAGAATGGTACAGGAACTATTTTTTTTCACAATAGAAATAGATAATTTCGCTCTCTAATCAGCTCCCTCCCATTGTTAATTCAACCCCAAGTGCATTTTCCTGCTGGCAATTTCAAAATACAGGTATTCCTCAACTTATGACTGGTTGTTTAATGACTTTTCAAAATTACAAGGAATTTTTCATCAAATCTGCAGATTTACACTAAGCTGGCAGGAATAGCCAACGTTCCAGAAGACAAGCTCAGGATCCAAAAGGATCTTAACAGACTTAAATAATAGGCCCATCCAACAACATGAAATTTAATGTGGAGAAAAGCAAGATTTTACACTTAGGCAGGAAAAACCAAAGATACAAGTACAGATTAGGCAAAACCTGGCTCAAAAACAGTAACTGTGAGAAGAACCTTGGACTCCTAGTGGATGATCACTTAAATATGAGCCAGCGGTGTGTGGCAGCAGCCAAAAAAGCTAATACAATCCTTGGTTGTATAAACAGAGGCATAGAATCAAAATCACATGAAGTATTAATATTGCTTTATAAAAACCTTAGTACAGCGGTTCTCAACCTGTGGGTCGCGACCCCATTTGGGGTCGAACGACCATTTCATGGGGGTTGCCAAACAACGCGATCTGCCATTTTTTTTCTCAGCCGGCGCAGGGGGCGGCGCCGTGCATGCGTGCCGCGCAGGGGGCGGTGCATGGGGGTGCCGCTGCACATGCGCGCCATGCAGGGGCACCGCCGCGTATGCGTGCCGCGCAGGGGGCAGTGGCGCGCATGCGCGCCGCCTGCTTATGACTGGGGTTGCCGGTCTAAAAAGATTGAGAACCACTGCCTTAGTAGGACCACACCTGGAATACTGTATCCATTTTTAGTCACCACATTACAAAAAAGATGTTAAGACTTTGGAAAAAGTGCAGAGAAGAACAACTAAGATGATTAAAGGACTGGACACTAAAACATATTGCAGGAATTAGGTATGACTAATCTAGAGAAAAGAAGGACTAGGGGTGACATAATAACAGAATTCTAGTATTTGAGGGCAGCCACAAAGAGGAGGGGATCAACTTGTTTTCCAAAGTACCAGAGGATAGGGCAAGAAACAGTGGAGGGAAACTAATCAAGGAGAGAAGCAACCTGGAATTAAGGAGAAACTTCCTAACAGTGAGAACAATTAACCAGTGAAATCGATTGACTTCAGAAGTTGTGGTTCTTCATCACTCGAGGTTTTTAAGAAGAGACTGGACAGCCACCAGCAGTGATGGCGAACCTTTTAGAGACCGAGTGCCCAAAATCCGCCCCCTGCCCCTGCTCCGTCTCCTGCCCTGCCTGCTCCACCCCACCTACTCCCTGCTCCAGTGGCCCTGCACTGCATCCATGGCCTGCCGTAGATCGCCCAGGCAGCCTTGTAGCACCATGGCAGCCATGCCCTCCACCCACACCCCTCAGCATCATCTGCACGCTATGGGGCACGAGGGCAGAGTCTTGTCCCTGTTGCCTGGCTATATACTTGGCTGTGCTGCTCCGTGCGGGCTGTGCCCAGGGGTGACTCTCCTCCAGGGGACTGCTGGTGAGGAGGGGGCCGTGGGGGGAGGTGGGGCTGGGGTGACGGCATACATGCCCACAGAGAGGGCTCTGAGTGCCGTCTCTGGCACGCGTGCCATAGGTTCACCATCACTATGATATAGGGTCTCCTGCTTGAGCAAGGGTTGGACTAGAAGACCTTCAAGATCACTTCCAGCTCTGTTCTGAATTGAAAAAAGAATGAGTGCTTTACGGCCTGTAAAGTACTTCTAGCTGTTGTAAAATGTTGTACCATTCCTCTCCTTGGCAGCTGGTTCGCCTTTATGATCAATTGCAGAGCATCACTTCGTCACCAGACTGCGATTTGCAAGGTTTCTTGCTCATTTCCAGCAAAAAAAAAAGCCTATTCAAAAGAATGGCTTTACACTTCTGACCATGGGATTTGCTTAACAACTATGGATTCATCACAAAAATGTATTGAAATCAGGTCTGGTCATGTGAGTGCCTTGACTTAGAACCATAATGACTTACAATTGGAAATCCTGTCCCAATTACAGCCATAAATTGTGAACTATCTATATTCTTGTTACATTGCATACATACTCTTGTGCATTTTGGCTGGAACACTTTTCTTTTTTCAAGGCTAAGTCTAGCATTTCATTGGTGACTTCATAGAGGAAGGAATCACCCCTCAAGGGAGATGATAGTTGCTGTAATCTTTAGCAACTTCTAAGACCTTTTCAATTTTGGTATTAAAATAATGCAATGGCTGACAGCTTTTTCTGGTATGTAAGAGATTTGTGATTCAGTAATTGTTTTGACAACAAATAATGCAACCAAGTTACTATTTTCTCTAGCTATCTAGTTAGCTAGAGAAAAGTAGCTAGCTGAATGAAAGTAATTAAAATAATTATTCCTTTTTGAATCACTACAGAGTGCTTAGTGATATTGGCAGTGGTAAGAAAGGGAAGGTCTTGTAGTGACTACAGTGAAAACGATTCAGTAGATTTTTTTTTATTTTAAAAATTGTTGCTATCCAAATTTGATGTCTTCACTTTAAATATACATATTTAATTTTAGTCTATATAGATACATTTACACAAACACACACGTGCACACACACACACACACACACATGTGACATATATATCAGTATCTATTTGCATTAAGCTCTATCCACAGGAAGGAAAGCAAATGGAAGCTCCCCCCCCAAAACAGATTTTGTAGCCTTCAGTCTGGATGAAATATTTTGCAAACTGTTGCCAAATGCCTCAGTCTGGTCATATTTGTCATAAATGGATTAAATGTAAATTGCCAGAAGTGCAGGACAAAAACATCTTAAACAATAATTGTGTGGATATGTCCAGAGATAGCAGTTGCATTATCCAAAATGGTTTTTATTGCAAGAAATCTGCAATATTTCAAGAAATCTGTTAGGCATATTTCCAGAGGCTGTCAACCTTCCATTAGTGGAACCTCCAAAAAGGATTATGATCTATTCATCTTTGCTTCAAATCCTAAACTACAAACAACAGTGTGAAATGGAAATAGGTCCACATGCAGATCTATTCCATCTGGAGATGTTGGATCACAGCAAGGATTCATCCTGTGAATTAAACTTTCAATATTGAGAATAAAGGAGTGGTACAGCATTGAATAAGAGAATGATTAGAGTAGGTAATGCCTCTAAGTTAATGAAGGAAGAAAACAGATGTTACTCTTTGATTCGTTCAATATACTGTATTTTCTTTCAAACTGTTTTGAATGGTCAACCAATCTTCTGAAATTTATTTTTAGGACTATTATTGAGGGAGAAAGGGGAGTGGAGAAAAAGTATACAATTTCCTCCTCCATTAATAAAACTATCCACTAGATCTAAACCTTCCGAACAACACTGATGGAATCTTCCCAGTAGCAGCATCTTAATTTTACAGATTGTTGCTGTGAAGATCAGCATTTGAATCATAAATATGTTTGTCTATCCATTTGCATTTCAAGGAAGAAATTGTTATTTTTTAAAAACACTTTGCAAGCGATGTCTTCATAATTAGGGACCATGAGGCTGACATTTTGCCTTTTGGTATTTTTATGTTGATAATTTAGAAAATAAAAATACACTATTGGATTGATTTTACTCAATTACTTTTTCCTTTCCAATAATTTCCTGAATCATATGTAGAAAACAGTTGCCTTTGGCAATCAGTTAATCAATAAGTGTGCGGAAGATGTCTCTGTCCCCCCCCTCCCGCCCCCATTTGATCAGCTATAGCTTTATGTAGTCAGTTTGTTTAATGAGAAATGGGTATTCTGAGCAAGTAAATAAGCAGAATACCAGTGAGAACATAACCCCTCATGAAATGAGGAACTGGGTGAAACAGAACCTATAAAAGGTCGGGAAGCAGATGAGATGACAGAGTTAATTTTCCAGCGATCACACTTTGCATACCCAAGGTTGCATTCCCCCTTGTGCGGGTGTGTGCTTAGTCCATGAAACAGATGAAATCAGGATTGCGTATAAGGGAAAGGAAAGGCTAATTCACTGTCATTCTTCTGCAGGCGATTAGGCCGTGGGATGGTAAATTACACTCCTGAGTATGCTTTTATAGGTAAAAATTTGAATTTGGCACTCCAACCTCTATATACTCTGGCAAGGCGGGACATTGCTGGTGAAATTCATTTCCCCCCTTCCATTAACCATCCCAGGTATTGCTTTTTTAAAAAATGAAAAAAATAAAGGAGGGAAAAAATGTGATTCTTTTGAATTTTACCTTTTGTAATTGAAGTTCATATTTTCAATTTGTACCTAAATTATATACATTATTCCCAGCATTAACAAACCTGGGGTCATACACTGCCTACACGCCTCAGCTATTAATATAGGCTGCCATGGTTGATCAGACTGCAGGGGACTGGCTTTCATTGGCAATGAAAATGTACAATTTTCACTTTTTTTTTTTACTAGGAGAGAAAGGGACGCCCTCAGGCATCATTTTTCTTCTCAGCAGGAGCTGAAAAATGTAGGTGTGTGTATATAAACCATTGTACTTATAAAGTCTTGAGATTACAGAACACAATGTTTACGCATACACAAGACTTGCATACCTTTTGTAATGACTTCTTGAGATACCTGAAAGGAGGCTATTGTACAGAATGTGTATGATTTCTGTTAGACTATAAATATTCTGGGAATCTCACATTCAATCAGATTGACTCTATTGTGTTGCAGATACTAAACTGAACTGTGAAGAATCTCCATGAAGGTGACCAGCCATGCAATGTTCTTGGAAGGCTGTCCTCTTACTTGCTTTGGCCTCCATTGCTATCCAGTATACAGCCATCCGCACTTTCACAACCAAGTCCTTCCAAAATTGCCCTGTACCCAGTCCCATGAATTGTAGCCTGAATCAGGAGGCTGAATCTGCTGACAGGCTGTGTGATGAAAGCCCAACGTTTTCTTACAACCTTTCTAAGAAGACTCATGTCCTGATCTTAGCCACCACCAGAAGTGGTTCTTCTTTTGTTGCTCAGCTCTTTAATCAGCACTTTGATGTTTTCTATTTATTTGAGCCCCTTTACCATGTCCAGTACACCTTGATTCCAAAGCTAACCCAGATGAAGGGCTCCATGGACCGACGGATCATGCTGGGAGCTGGCAGAGATTTGCTGAGGAGTCTTTATGACTGTGATCTTTACTTTTTGGAAAATTACATCAAACCCCAGCCGGTGAACCACACCACAGACAGACTCTTCAGGAGAGGGGCCAGCAAAGCTCTGTGCTCTGCACCAGTTTGTGACACACTGGCACCGATTGATACAACTCTGGAGGAAGGTGATTGCATAAAAAAATGTGGCCCTTTGAACTTGACTCTAGCTAGCGAATCATGCAGAGATCATGGGCATGTTGCTATCAAAACAGTGCGAGTGCCAGAGGTCAATGACCTTCGGGCCTTGGTGGACGATCCAAGGCTCAACCTGAAAATTATACAATTAGTGAGAGACCCCAGAGGCATCCTTGCCTCCAGGAGTGAAACATTTAGAGACACTTACAGACTTTGGCGAATCTGGGATGGCACAGGTAGGAAACCCTACAACTTGGATGTGACACAACTCACCACTATCTGTGAGGACTTCTTGAACTCCGTATCCACTGGCTTAAGTAGGCCCTCATGGCTGAAAGGCAAATACATGCTGGTGCGATATGAAGACGTAGCTAGGAATCCTCTAAAAAAGACTGAGGAAATGTACGAATTCCTCGGTATCCCATTGGATAGTAATGTGGAACGATGGATACAGAATAATACAAGAGGAGACAGGTCTGCAGCCAAGCACAAATACGGGACTGTCCGAAATTCAGCAGCAACAGCAGAGAAGTGGCGGTTCCGCCTGTCTTATGATATTGTGGCATTCACACAGAATGCGTGCCAGCAGGTATTAATACAACTGGGTTACAAACTGGTATCCTCTGAGAAGGAATTAAAGAACCTCTCCACAAGTCTGGTGGAAGAAAGGGATTTCTTGCCCTTTGGGTAATGCAGATGTTTAGGGCTCCTATTGTAAGCTTGAGATGAGCCATTTGTAACTGTTGCCTTACTTTCCCTCTTCCCGCCTACTCTCTAAAAAATTTGCACTAATTGTTGAATGGGATTCTCAGAAGGAAAGTTCCCCTTCTCAAACCATTGTATAGATGGATGACTATTGGGTCTCTTAAGAGCAAAAACTAAAATAAACAAACTGTGGACAGGGAACAATGTTTACAAATCACACACACTTAACAATATATAAAAGGGAAAAAAAGTAACCCTCAGCTTTCCACACTGATGGGAATCTGAAGGCTTATACTTTTGCACTTTTTACTTTTACAATGTAAGAGGTAATTATAAATATATATATAATTATAATTATAAATATAAATATCTATATGTCTAATTTATGAATAGTGTTGTTACCTCCCTCCCAACTCTTATGAGCAGGTTTTACTGTTAGCTGATGGTGGAATAGTCTCCTTGTTTTTAATCTTGTTGTGATATATCTGAGTCATATTATCAGGCTGGTTGCTGATCCACAGTTTGTTTAGTAACATGACATTTCTCTGTGCCAAAAAAGAAAGAAAAAAAGAAAGAAAGAAAAAGAAAGAAAAAGAAAAAGAAAAACTTGAGATTTGCTAAACAGGAACAACGATGCTTTATCTCTGTGTTTTCTTCAAATAAAGAATTCAATAAAATTAATTGTTCCTGGAGGGTGAAATTCACCAAGCCAGGCTCAATGAATCTTGAGACTTCTGAACTCTGTTCAGGACAGCTGTGGATACTATTTAATGTTATGGTGAGGGAGAAGGAGGTAGCAACTGCATTTTTAGAGTCAAGGATGGGCAGTGGGAAGAATGATAATAAAACAAATTGACAATCTGATTTAAGTGATAAGAGTGCAGAAGTGATGGCAATCCTGTGATCTGTATAGCTTTTAAACACTTGCCCTTTTCATTTGTAGCCAACTGCAGCTGGTTGCCTGAGAATCCACAGGTGGGAGGGAGGGGGCACCTGTTTGAATGACATTACATAATTTGCATTTGTAAGACAATGTCATGGCACAGGTGATATCATCATAGCTCATACTAGACACCTATGACTGGTTAACTCAGTGTAACAAAAATAGAGCTCAGGAGTTTCAACCTCAAGAAATCTTGCCTGACTGCCTGCTTGAATCACCATATGTTCGGGTAAGGTAGCTTAATGGGACAGCTGGAACTCCTGATTCAAACGGCAAAGTTAAAGGAGATGAAAATAGCCAAGACTGCTATCCCAAATCAAAGAAAACTACTGGTGTTGGGAGTAGCCCCCTTCCCTCATTTTAAACACCTTATTGTTTAAACCAGTCATGCTGACTCAGGCATTCTGGGAGTTGAAGTCCACAAGTCATAAAAGAGCCAAGGTTGCCTACCCCTGGTTTAAACCATTCTCGACACCAGTCTTTACCAATCAACTTCTTTTTCCTAATCTAAGCAGGCTTAGCTTTCAAGTTAAGTGATTAATTTCAATGTTGTCATAATTAATACTGGAAATCTAAAGGAAATCCTAGTGCCCATACCTGTCTTAGATCTCAACAAAGGAATGGCTAGAGTTGGACTTAACTGGACCATTGCAAGAGGATTATATGCAAGTGGTTGTGTCGTTAACATATTGATTTTTTTTTTTTAAAAAAAAAACTTCTGGGAGGACTCCCTTTCTCCATGCAGCCCTTATTTGTGATAAATACATAAAGCATCAAAGGAAGCAGGAATCTGTTCCACAGATGGATGGTTAGCATTGAATAAATCCTAAGGATTCTATGCTAGTGATCCAAATGCAGTCATGGAAAATGAACAGCTGCTAAACTAACTAAAATATTTAGTGCATTTTTTTTCAAGCCTGATTATGGGGGCTTGGGAGGTTAGAAAGGGTAAACTCTGCCTTTTCTGCCTTCTGTGACCTGCCAGAATCTTGTACTAGAGCCTACACAAAGCTTTTGTTTCGTCTGGGGAGGAGTGGCAGAATCTAATTGCTACTCAAAGAACGGCTTTCTATGAGAGAGAGAGGGGGGAGGGAGGGAGAGAGAGAGAGAGAGAGAGAGAGAGAGAGAGAGAGAGAGAGAGAGAGAGAGAGAGAGAGAGAGAGAGAGAGAGAGAGATGGAGATGTGAATGGATATAGGCATGTGAATGGGCTGTGTATGTGCCTTTCCCCCACCTTGCTATGACCTGCTCATTTTGGGGATTGGTCCTCTGGAAAAGTATAACAAAGGAAATGCAGACATAAAATTAGCAAGAGCTACACTATACATGTTTTTTTTTTAAATTACAGTGAGGAACAAGTTCATTTTTTTGTTATGATCTTCATGCTGAAGAGTCCTATCCCGAGCCTGTTTGTCACTGATAATGACAGTGTATAAAAACTGCATGTTTATATGTCTCAGTGTTTCCAATGTTGTGACCATATTTTTGGTATGGGAAACTATTCAAGATTGCTGTTTCCTGATCTGCAGTTCAGAAATAATCATTATGGTGTTGGTCAGCTTAGCACCTTAGAGATGTATCTGGCTACGACATTTGTCATACCAGACAACAAGCCCTGATGGTAGTTGTGGTCCAATATACCTGGAGAAAATCAGGAGGGAAGATGTTCATCAAAACATTGAATAATTTTTGATCTATTAAAAATTGAATATTTTATGGGACTGCATCTTTTAAAATATTGGGATTTTTATATAAGCAACCCAGAGGAAAGAGCTATCTCCTTACATAAGTCCTATTAACTTTTATCACACAGGAAATGCAACTTCTGAGAGAATTCTGTGAAACATGCATGCATTATCTAATGTTTGTGCAGTCCTATACTTGCCTACTCAGAAGTACTGTCCCACTGAATTCAGTGAAATTTGCTTCAAGGTACAGGACTACAGCCTAAAATGCCTTTTCTTCTGAATGTTTATTCAAATACAATTTGTTGATACAAATTTGATTCAATTAAAATTCATATAAATAATTAACTATGATTTCTTTGTTCAAATGACAGAACTAATTTTATCATTAAAAAGACCTTGGCATATAAAATGTCAGTTGTTATTATTGCTTTTGTAGAAATGGAACCATGCCTGAAGCCATTTTCTGTTCCAATAGTGGAAAAAAAGAAACAAGGTGAGAAACAGACATAAAATTTTGCCTCATACGAGCCCTTCTTCTAAAACTTCCAATTGCTGTCTGATACAACTGACACCAGGTTTAAATGGTGGGCCTGGAATTTCCATATGAGCTCATTATTGTTTTTTAAGTAATTACCCAACTGATGTAATATCTTCCCCAAATATACTGGTGGATATTTGCTTACCTGCCAGTCTTGAAAATAATCATTTTTTTTTTAATTTTTGGAAGAACAGCTCTTGCCTTATTCATGCATAATTCATGTAGAAATTGTTTCTGAAGATAATTGGAATGGAAGTAATGTTTTTTGCCAATTTAAAAGAAAATAACATTAAAAATGTCAATGGCACTTCAAATCAAGTTCAATTTCTGGTGATTTTATGGATGCAAGCATGCAGGGGTTTTTTTAGCAGCAATTTAGAAGTAGTTTGCCATTGGTGTTTTCCAGCCAATGACAAACCATTTCTAAATTGTTGCCAAGAAACCATTTTTTTCCAGGATATTTTCCTGAATGATCCTATAGCCCTGATACACCTTGATTTTTCCGTCCAAGCATTATCAAGAATGAGCCATCTTAGAATAGCAATCCAGATAAGGACTGGCCAGGTCCTGTGCTCCTGTGACAAGTGACAGATTTGCCAACACTAAAACCAAACATGACCAAATTTATTCAGCTATCCATATTTACAGAGAAGCCTTGAAAGAATAGAATTCTCCACCTCTGAGTTTATTTTCTTCATAGTGGACAGCCACATGGGGAGGAGATACAGGTAGTCCTCAACTTATGATCACAATTGAGCCCAAAATTTCTGTTGCTAAGAGAGATGGTTATTAAGTGAGCTTTGCTCCATTTTATGACCTTTCTTTCCACAGTAATTAAATGAATCAGTTATTAAGTTAGTAATGTGGTAGCTTCCCCATTGACTTTGCTTGTCAGAAAATTGCAAAAGGTGATCACATGACCCTAACACAGTGCAATTATCCTAAATATGAGTCAGTTGCCAACCTCTGAATTTTGTGACCATGGGGATGCTGCAATGGTCGTAAGCACTCATATATCACTTTTTTCAGTGCCATAACTTTGAATGGTCACTAAAATAATTGTTGTAAGTCAAGAACTACCTGTAGTGAGAAAGAGGAGGCGAGCTGACAGCACCCTCTGCACTGTCTATGAGGGCGCTGAACCTAGTCAGACCTTGTGGACTTTTCAACAGTTTTTCTATTCTGGAAGTGGGGTGAACAGGTGGAAGAAGGCAATTACAGCCTTCTGTGGCCTGGGAACTTTGAAAATCACCTTGGACTGTGAGATGGGAGGTAAATAAATTTGATGAATAAAAAAATGGGCCCTTTGCCATTTCACTGAAGACAGACTATCATGGAAATTCCTTTCTACAGAGGTAAGTTGGCTTCCCAGTTTTCACAATTGGTAGTCAGATTCTCAATGGCTCAGTCATGCAAACATGAGAAATTAAGAGATGACTACTGAATAGAGTAAGGATTATTCAGACGTAGAACTTCATGTGAAAGTTGAAAAAGAAGAAAAAATATCTTCCTTTGTGCTGGTATGGACTTTTCCCATTTGCATCTAAATGCAAGGCAAATGTGGCTCCCTCCCCCCCTTTTTTGCCTTGTCCCTTGACATTGCCTTCATCTCTTCTATTTGAGATGGTCCTCAATTGTCCTTAGTTGTTCTATTGGTTCCATGGTGGAGCTATATTCAAACTTCAGCATTCTTTGCTGTTGGTGGTTAGTCATATGAGGTAGTGAGATGAACCCAGCACCTCCTCATCACTTCAGATTGCTGTGAATTTGCCTGTCTTTTGAATCTAGCTATCCTCCTCTGTTTTGGAATACTGAAGAATCTGCCTTTTTCAAATTGGTCTCTTCATCTGGGTCTGCTGTTTCCTGGAGTCCAGAGAACTTGGACTTGGTGGGATCTGCAAGAGAAAAAGTGCTTAAATGCACTGAAAACAAGTCTTCCCTGATAGCTGATAGTTGGGTCTGGGAAACCTACTTGATAAAATGGAAGAAACCCTTCTGCCTTACCCATGCCAGTCTTATAAATTAGTCCTAACAAAAAGCACACCCAGAAACACTAGCTCTAACTTTATTTTAAGGTTACATTAATAGAATCTTGCAAAGTATATCTCTCCACACCTCTCACATTTACAGTCCAGGAAACTAGGGAAGGTCCCTGTTGACCACATCCCCATTCCTTCTGTGATTCAGCTGTCACTTATGGTGTTCTTCCTGTCTCTCATGGTTACTTCTACCTACCATTGCATCCTTACACTCCACCCTGTGCCTCTTGGTCATGCCATCTATGGAACCCACCTGTCAATCACAGCAATGGTTTTGTTTTACACACCCTGCATAGCCCAATGTCAAATATGAATGCTCCCATACTTCAGCAAGCCAGAACACAGGATAGTGATGGTAGCATAATTTATGCAGCATAGTTTTCTAGCCAACTGAATAATGAAGGCATAGTTCTTAAACTGAGCCATTAGAAAAGGCCCAACCTTACAAACATTTCTGATGTTATGTCCATGAAGATTCTCAGCTATCCAGGTAGAGTTGTCTAGAAGTTGAATCATGGCAACTGGACTTCTTTTTTTTTTGGTTTGAAATGTTTTACTGCTTATCCAAGTAGCTTCTTCAGTCTGAATGACTGATTGACTTGCTCAGACTGGAGAAACTACTTAGATAAGTAGCAAAATGTTTCAAACCGAAAGACTTCTGACACTATTTATGATTGGTTTCCATTTTTTTTTTTTTTTGCTTCATACAAACATTTTGGGAGATAGTCAGAAGCTATTGTCTGAGTGTTTTGGTGTAGAGTAGACTAAACAATCTTCCGGTTTCTGATTCAAGGAGAAATCCAATACTCACCAATACTCAGGTTTGTGAGCAATGCATCCTCAGGCTGGAAAAATGCACACAAGCTCTTAATAGGAAAACAAATGGGGAAAAGGCACTATGTTGAATTAACCTTTTTATTAGCTTTTTTTCTTTGAAAGAGCAAAAGCAGGAAGTGCTGCTGTACATGCCTTTCTGCTGGAGAGGCTTCACAAAGTATCCCCTCAGCTTAGAAGATGGAAACCCATTTAAAGTGGGAATGGCTTTAAAAGGTCAGCAGAAAAATGAGCTTGGTGGCCTATCCTCCAGGCTTGTAGAAAAAAACCAAGTGGAGTCTTATAAATCATGTCTGCTGTCAAGAGAGAGATCAGTTGGCAGCTGCTCAGGACCAGATGAAGAGGAAGAAAGTTCCCTGAAAAAAAGCCTTTCATGTTCCATAGAGAGCATCTGAATTCATTCTGGCTGCTTTATATTCTTTGTACTATTTTCCATCAGACCATGAAGCAGACACAGAGAGCCTTCCATGACATGTAGCCTCTGTAAACTACTGTGCAAATATCCATTGGCATAGCATGACATACTTGTCATGAATGGGTTTTGTGCTAAATAGACACTAGGCGAAATCTAAACAAGATTAATATAAAGTTGATTCAATCTTAACCTTATTAAAACTAGAATATATAGAAGCATATTACCCCATCTTCCCATTCTTAGAATGTAAAGACTTTTCAAAAATTGAGAAAGAACCCACTCCTTTAACCCCAGGAGTGTAGATTTATGTCCATCAAAGTAAAACTGTAGGCTTGATAAATCCAGAATATGTAATAAAATATCTAACTCAAATAATAATAATAATAATAATAATAATAATAATAATAATAATAATAATAATAATAATATTCAACTACGAATTGGGGAAAGGACAGGCAATTATTTTAAGACCTAACAAAGTCTACTGCATATTCCACCTGAACTCAGGGTCTGTGGCAAAGAGTCAGATTTTTAACCCTTATGAAAACATA